GGCAACAGAAACTTTTGAAATGAGAAGAATGGGTCATACTTTAAAGTGTTCCTTTAAAGGAGTTACAAACTGAAGGGAGAAAAGAAAGTTTAAGGCTTTAGTCTTATTTTTATTAGTAAGACTAGAAAAAAATATTAATATATAAGATCCAGTCTTATAGAAATTCAAGAAATCACAAGATTATAAATCTGAAAGGGGCCTGAAAGGTCAAATCTGTTATTTCACAGATAAGTAAATTAGGTCTGGACTGGATAAAAGACTGCATTGACTGTAGAATTGGTTAGGTGTTAAACCAAATACCATATTGCAATTACATTTTCCATTGTTCTAGAGTGCAATACAGGCAGGAGAAAAATGAATATTTATAGAAAGCTTCAGTGTTTGGATATATTAACATATAAAAAGATAAAAATATGGTTTATTTGGAGGAGGGTTATTTATATTATTTCTAATAATGATAAGGGTGAACTGACACATTTGTAATTACAAATGATATGCAGATATATTGATGTACAGATATACAAATCATACTTTTAGTTGAATATAGTTACATACTATTTTTAAAAATCTCTCCTTCAGGGGCATTTCTGGTGGCACAAAGGGTTAAAGCACACCACTATAAAGCTATCTGGAGCCACTGCACCATGAGTTTGATCCCCAGCCAGGGCGGTGGCCCATATGGTGCAGAAAACCTCTGTTTCACACGCTGTTCCCCACAGCAGTGTAATTCAGTATGTGTGCCTATTCTGTTCTCTACGCTTTCTCTGGTGAATCCTCTCACCACTGCTGCACCTCTGGCCTTACCACAGTTCTGTATGCATAAATAAATAAATCTTTAAAAAAATAAAAAGTTCTCTTTCAACTTTTATTTTGGTAAAAAATTTCTTTTTTAATTATGCCAAGACAAAGAATAATGTAGGCATCAGAATCACCCATTAACAAATGTACGTAATTCTGCCATATTCCTTATCAGTTTGCTGCCATTTTTAATTCAGTGTCCTACTACTATTCCAAACTACACATCTTTTAAAGACACAAGCTAAAATTCATTCTATTTTGCATTGTTCTGATTAGGAGAGCACTCAGCAGTTAGGAATTACATAGAGATGAAATACAAGTTTGAATGGGAGTCTAAATGGATCTAGCCACATCTGGATCAACAACTTACTGTTAACCTTAGATAAGCCACTTATGCTTTATAAGCCTTCATATATTGCCCTGGAGGAATATATGAAGAGTATTTTTCTCACCTAGTCTCAGATGTGGCCTGACTCTGTGAAATGATACTTTTGGCTATCTAGGAGAAGTTAGATAGGAAAATGTCAGCTCATTGTCTGCTGTTAGAAACAGTTATTGATCCATGAATAGATCAAATTTAGATGTACTAATAATTTAGTACATCATTAAGCAATGAAAAAAGAATCGGGGTTCTGGAAGAAAGATTAGGGTAAAAGTCCTTCTCAACTTGAAATGTGGTGAGGGACAATCCTTCTCCCACAGAATTTTTTAGGCTTCAGACAGCCATATGAATAGCACAAACACTGAAGAAGCATGCTGGGACTTACTTGAGCTAAGTCGCAGGAGTGCCTACAAGAGGACAGTCACTATGTTTCTTTTAATACTACTGAGTCAAATTCTAAGTGATAACAATACTTCTAACTTTTCTATTTCTGGGGTTTGTGATAAGAATGATATTTCAATAAATGTTGAATGGTATTAGTGCCAAAAGAAACTAGGATAATTATGAGTATTTCAATGGAGCATAGTTTTATAAACAACTTCTAGCTTAATATTAGATTGGAAGCTAATGATCAACAAATGTAAACCTTTTGTCTTTCTAATTGTATAGTTAAAAGTTTCTCATTGTTTTCAGAACATGTAATATTAGTTAGAAAATACTCCAGGGAAAGTGTGCAGATTTATCTCATCACTCACCACTTCACACACAAACAGGTAATATTCTCCATCTCTAGCCATATCCAAATAACAATGCTCCCTTACATGCTGTATTGATCAGCTACTGCCACCATGCTGCTACAAGTCAAACACCAAATAAACGCCGGGCCCTGAAGTAGTTAACTACTGTTTATGGTATTTCTAGTTCAGAGATATTTATTTATTTATTTGTTTGTTTATTCATTCATTCACTCATTCATTCATTCATTCATTTATGCATACAGAACTGGGGTACAGGTCAGAGGTGCAGAGGTGGTGACAGGATTCACCAGAAACAGCGTTGGGAACAGAACAGGCAGATCGACAAAGTACACTGCTGAGGGGAGCAGTGGGTGGGTCAGGAGAAGTCTGCCACACCATGTGGGTCACCTCTGGGGCGGGGGTCAAACTCATGTTGAAGTGGCGTTAGCTTCTTAGTATTGTATTTTAAACCGCTGCGCCACCAGGGAGGGAGGGCCCTCTAGGTCAGAGATCTTTGTAGTAGCTAGAGCAGATCTACTTCAGCTTACAACTAGGCTGGGCTTTGCTTCAGTCTTTGACTTGGCCTGCCCCACAGGTTTCCACAATCTCCACAGTCCAAAGACTACCTGCTTCATCCTCTTCTCTTGGTGAACAACAGAAGCACTCAAGGTCTCTTAAGAACTTGGATTGGGGGCACTCCCTGTGGCACGGCAGGTTAAAGGTCAGCACTGCAAAGCTGACTGGTGCTTCTGCATGAGTTCAATCCCCATCCCAAAGGTGATGACATGGCACAGCAGACCTCTCCTTTCTTGCCCTCTGCTCTCCTCAACAGTATACCTCTGTCTGCCTGTTCTCCCCACTCCGGCTCTGGTGGGTCCTCTTACCACCTCTGGCCTATACACCATTTTCGTATGCATGAATAATTAAAATACACACACACACACACACACACACACAAACTTGGCTTGGGTATAAAAGGTTAACTCATTAGTCTGCACCCACTAACCCCAGCACTGGCAGAGCCAAGCATGCACATGAGGAAGAGAGGCAGCCTGTGTATTCACAATTCCATCAGCACCAAATAGAACTGGGTAAATATTAACAAACATCTGTAGACTAAATGAATGTTCTCTACAAATCAAGAGATTTCACTTTCTTCTTTTTATTTTTTTTAGATTTATTTATTCATACAGAACTGTGATACAAGCTAGAGGTGCAGGGGTGGTAAGAGGATTCACCAGAGACAAAGTGGGAGCAGAACAGGCAGATCAACGAGGTACACTGCTGATGGTCGCAGCGGGCTGGTCAGGAGAGGTCTGCCGCGCCATGTGGATCACTTCTGGGGCGGGATTGAACTTGCACTGAAGCGGCTGCAGCCAGCTTGCAGTGCTGGGTGCTAAGCTGTTGCACCACCAGAGAGGGCCCAGATTTCATTTTCTTCTAAAGCTTAAATCTAACTAAGTATTTTTAGTAATGCAAGTTTACTGTTTTCCCAAGTAGTCATTTTGGTTTCAAGTTTTAGTTGTTACAAGTAGTTCATTACAATGAATGAAATTTAACATACTGAGTCTTCTAATTAGACCTAAAGTACCTCTTAGGGGTGCAGGGAATGTCAGGCCTTTTAAATAATTGAAATAATTTTAAAATTCTAAATATGCTCAATAACTTCAACAGTTTTCCTCCAGTAAGTCCACTGTCCAAAGTTCCCTGATAACAAATGAGTTTCTCAATATATAAATTTCAAATAGTTGTGATAGAGCTTGTCGACATACATGTGAAAAGGATGTCTTCTCTTGTATTGACTGCAGCATTCTATTTAAGTTAAATGTGTTTTAAAAATCTTTAATTATACTACTTCTTGCTCCAGCACTAAATTTTTCCGCTTCATATGACTGTGGATTTATATATATTTTCCTGTGAATTTCTGTCTTTGTCTTGAATATTACAGACTAGAAAATTTTAGACTTTTTGTTGTTTTTCATTATTAACTGACAGTTGTAATCCTTAACAATACTTTTGCTAAAAAAAAATTTGTTTAATAGCGATAGTTATACCTTTTAGTTTAGTAGTTTTGCCTATTGTTTTTCATAACTTTTTGTTTCCCCTTTTATGTTTCTTGAACCAGTTAAATATATATTAGTTTTGTTCTTTTATTCAATATTAAGCAATACTTGAGTATTCTGGGAAAATAAATCTTATTTATTTTTACTTCTGAGATATTTACATTTGCTATTTGTGTTTTCTCTTTTTCTTTTTATTTATTTATTTTTCTTACAGCCTTATTGTATACATGTATTTTAAAAATATATTCTCCCATTCTCTATCCCCCTTTTTGAGACTATTGTTAAGAGTAGTTTTAAGTTTGTAATAGACTGGACAGTTATATGTTTATGCTTATCATTTAATAAATATGATTGTATGTTCAGGATGATTGTTTCAAAAGTATAAAATTAAAACAAAATCTCTATCTTCCTTCCAAACATAGCAAGACTTTGAAATGGTTTAGCTCTGACTCCTTTCTCCTATTTACTTATAATTGCTGTGTAGCATTTCAGTTCTATATTTTTATCTCACACAAATAATTCTTTCCTATCGCTCCTCCTAGTCTTTCTATTTTTACAGATTTGTACACTAGTGTAGTAGCTCATGCTAAACCTTGGTTATATCACTCATCCCATCACCATGTCTACCTGCCTTTGCCCCACGAGCACATTTGCTAAACAGACATTCTTTCTTTATATTTAATGGAAACTCTCTGACAGATATCATCATCAAAACTAGGATATTCTTGTGTATATCTGAGGAAAAAAAATTTAAAACTTTCATTGATTTTAAAATTAAAATTTATTGGCAATATTATAGTCACACTTATACTTAGAAAATTAAGTGAATGTTAAATTATTTTGGTTGGCAATGAATTATAGTTCCCTGCCAATTCTTTTCTTGTATAACTCCTTATTTCTATTGCAAATTTACTTTTATGTTTGAATAACTAAACTCATCATCTGCTTTGTGGTAAATGTATTTGTGATTAAAGCATAAATTGGTGTCGGAGATTAGAATAACTTATGAAAATCACCTACCTGACCAGCAGTGTCCAGGATGTCCAAATAAGCCGGTTCATTATCAATTCTTACTTGGGTCTTATAAGCATCTTCTGAAAACACACAAGACAAAGTGTTTATTTAAATATATTCACAGAGTAGTTATAATTGCTTTTTTAAAAGATGTCTTACATAGTTTCCATGTGGTGACATCCTAGCAAAAGAATACTGATAGCTAAAATGTACGAGATAAGTCAAAATGACTTGTGAATATATTGAATGGAGTCATATTGTTGAGTGAGACATCTAAAATAAGACTGGTTGGCTCAGACCTTGATTTTACCACTACCTGCTATCTGACTTTAGGAAAATTACCTGAGCTCTAAAAATATGAAAATGTGATAATGATTTCTGTATCTAACAAATACATCGAATCACATAGTTATTCAAATGATTAAAAAAAATAATAATGTACGGAAGGTGTCCAGTATACTGTTTTGTGTGTAGTAATTGTTAATAAGGTTTCAATATATTTACTGATTTTAAGTAATATGGACTCCACTGTAATGTCATGGTATGTGTATTCTGTATGTTTACTCTGGCTATAATGTGGTAATGAATTTTAATGTGGAGCACTAGAAAGGTAAATCAGATATTTGGTAATAAACTTAAGAAATGATGATGACTGGTACTATGATATTTAGAAGAAAGTTGATAGATTTTCACTATGTTTAAAAGATAGAATCCACTGCACTTAATGATAGATGAGAGACAATAAAGAAACTGCAAGAGAAACTCAGATTTCTATCACTTGCAGATGGACAGATAGCAATGACATTTATTAAGAAAGGAAAGAAAGAATTTCACAAATTCAGTTTAAGAAATTTTTTTTTTCATTTCTATAGATTACTCAATCAAAATTATGTCTATTTGGTTTCAATACTTCAGGGAAAAAATTGAGTCTTATTTTAATTCAACTTTTTATTTACTCATTCATGCCAATTCTGAAATCCTATGTACTTCAGTCTATTCAAATAACTTTAGTGTGTCCATTAATACTTGTGAAACATGCTAGACATTTTGAATCCAGAATTCATTAATTCCTAGTACTTGGCTGTGATTCCTATTTTTTTTTATTAGTTAATATTTATATTTTTTTTTAAAGAGAAAATTGAACCACTGCTAAAAGTACTGACATTTGGCACAATTCAATTATTATGCATACTGCTAATTACAAATTATAATTAAACAAACAGATTGGTTCCAGAACCTATTGGTTTAGAAATTAATAATGATCGGCCACAGAAGGCATCTTGTTTAAGGTATCATATTGCTGGAAATATGATGATACACACTTACCACACACACACAATCATGGTATACACTTCCAAAGTTACATAATCATGGTGGAAGGAAGACACTTATATAAATAGATTTGTTTACTGGAATGTTAAAATCCAAAAATTTATAGGGCAGATTCCCTATCTTCAGGGAAATTCACTCCTAATTTTCATACTCCAGACAGGTGAAATTGTAGGAAGTACAATTTGTAGAGATCAATCTAATGTGACTTGAGCAATTACCAGCCACTTAATACAATTCAGCATATTGCTAACTATACAATCTTTATTTTCTTATGTTACCTCTCTTTATGTTTTCTCTCTTGATGCTTTTACTTGTCTTCCTCTCACAAAAGAGAAGCCTTATAGAATAACTTAAATTTTATTGATGATGCACAGGCTGGTTTTTCAGTTCTATAGGTAAATATAAATAGTTACTCTGAAAAGGGCTTTATGACTGGTGGATCACATGTGTGCCTTTGAGATTTCATGTTTGTTTATTTGACTCAAAGGCCCCCAAAAGAGCCTGCTGAGGCCAGGAGCATGCTGAGTAATCCAGACAGAATGTTCTATATGATTATCTGAGCCCTAAATAAACTCAACACATGAAACATCTATCAAATAAAAGCTTCTCTTGGGATCAGAAAACCCCTTCAAAGAGACTCGATGTGAAGTGGCTGGAAATTAAACCAAGCCCTCTATCCAAGATTTCTTTCTCTCTTTTAAAAAGTGTCCATCAGAGTGTATATTCTTGTGTTGTGAAACCAGGTCACCTGCCTAGCCTCTATAGAAATGAATCCCTTTTATTCCCTCCCCATAAATAATCTTCCCTTCTATTTCCATCCATCCAACCCTTTGAGACCTCCCATGCAGAAATGCAGTGGCAGAAATACTCTCCTGAATACATACAAATACCTTCTCAAATTTCAATACCTGCCTATAGACCCAACCCAGAAGTGAGCTCATTTATTTTCCCAAGCAAGAGGCCAAATATACACAAAGTCACATCAAGCAGAAATGGCAGCAACGGCCTGCTGTGTTGTTTGCACAGAACTGCATAATGGGAGCACATTCTTGGAGGCATCTATCAACTTCCAGTTCATTTGAAAACACTATTGTTTCTTTAGTATGTATCTTCTTTAATCTCCTTCAACAGAATTATATAAGAAGAAATTGCCAGGGATCTATAGTAAAGCTTCAAACCCACCACTAAATATCTATGCTTCGCCTTTTATTTGTAAGGTAGAGGTAATGATACTTGTTGGTCAACAGATGAGCCCTAATGAGGATCAACAAAAGTAGCAAATACAATGGTGTTTTTAATAAAAGAGAATACAATTCAAACTCAAACATATTATGTTGTGATTTAAAAAATATACTGCTCCAAATTAATCATGAAATTATATTAAAACTAAATAACTTCTCTATTTACTTTTATTCATGAGGGAGTTCTTTCTTCCCAACAAGTAAATCACAGAGGACTTGGAAGGATATATTTCCAATAATCATTAAGCATATAAAATTTTTAATAAATTGGAAAAAAAATAGATGTTGTGTGTAATTTAGCCAATTCTTGAGCAAAACAAACATATGTACTTCAGTAATTTTAAAATATTTTAGTTATAAAAATGAAAACAGGGCAATTTAACTAATTTTTAGTATGTAACTAAGGAAAAATAATACATTATTGTTGAATTTTCATTAGATGTTTAAAAAATAAAACTTACAGAGTTGACTACTTCATAAATGGGGCAACCCCAATTTGAAGTATGTTATTTGTATTACAGTAAAGATACACTTATATAACTCTAAGCTAGTTATTATGCAGATATAAATCACTGACCTGATTTTTAAAAGAAAAACGGGCTCAAATAATCTATCTATAAAAACTTTCTTAAATAATTACTTGCATAAATCATCTTAATTTTGTCTCACTCTGTGTGTGTGTGAGTATATGTAAAGCAAAAGACCCTTGGAACAAGTTGTATTATGACATTAATAAGGACTGCTTCAATTTGTGTATGTGTATATATATATATGCAAATATGTATGTGTGTGACACACACACACACACACACACAATCATGGTCTATACTTCCAAAGTTACATAATCATGGTGGAAGACACTTATATAAGTAGATTTGTTCACTGGAATGTTAAAATCCAAAAATTTATAGGGCAGATTTCCCTATTTTCAGGGAAATTCACTCCTAATTTTCATACTCCAGATAGATGAAATTGTAGGAAGTACAATTTGTAGAGATCAATCTAGTGTGACCTGAGCAATTACTTGAGATATATATATATATATCTGTAAAAGATATGAGAGGCGATAGGACTAGGCTTCACCTATACTGTCTGGAATCCTTTGTCTCTGTCTCAGTTGTTTTATAATGAGGAGGAACACAGAGAACATGTTTTTCCTTCCTCAGACCCTTCAGCAAGGAATGATGACAACTTCTGTTCTTTCCTACTCCATTTATCACACCCAAAGAATGGCTTCATCATCCTAGGACTAAGAGCTGTGCAATTATTATAACTGGTTATATTCTAGAAGTCTTATAAAGTAGAATGTTTAAATACAAATTTTCTTCACAAAAATAGAGCTTTTCTGGTCAGGGCAAATTGACTGAATGACACTTTTAAAAGAGAGACAACATCAAAGACAGCTGAACTTGGAACTACGGAGAATTTTCATATGACAGGTGGAATGTAAAATGGTGTAACCAGGTCAGATGTTTGAGGCTATCTGCGAAAGCTGGTGTTACACATATCCTATATGTTAGATTGAATCAGTGGTCCTAGTTCTTGTCTATATTTATATTATATATCCCAGTCTTGCCATTACCTTATGGTGGATGAAATGCACTGTCTTGTTCTTTGATTTTATGCTTGACTATTCAACTGACTTTTGCCATTGGAAAGTTAATTAATGTGATGTGAGCAAAGGCATGAAATATGCACGGACAGTGGGGCTTGTTCTCTTGATTTGTCCATGATCATGAGAAAAACACGTTCTGAGATGCCTGCTGATAGCAAGACAGACACTAGTAGGAAGTAAAGACTTCTTCAGTAACCTACAGGTATCTGAGAGGGAAATTAATATTATTTTTAGCACTCAGATTTTTGACATTGCTATAAACAGTTTCACTCATCAGAAACTGCATACACATATACAGTTACAAATGTACATGAAAAGCATGAATGAAAATATTTTATCAATATTATTCATACTGCCTCTACACTAAAAACAACTCATATTTCATTGTTATCACAATATACAAATACCCTCTACCATACTTGTAAAGGGGATTATTTTTCTAGGAGATTTACAAAACTATGATGCATCATAGCACATGGTTGAATCTTAAAAACATGTTAAATAAAATAAATTACACAAAAAGAACATCCACTGTGTGCTTTCACCTATATAAAATTTAAAAAATTAAGCATCCAGGGCCTCCCTGGTGGAGCAAGGAGTTAAGTTGCAGCCTTATAAAGCTATCGGCAAGCACTTCATATGAGTTCAGTTCCCAACCAGGCTGCTGGTACACAGGGTGTGTAGACCTTTCATGTCTAGTCCGCGGCTTCCCTCGCCAGTGTATTTCAATAGATACACCTGTTCTGCTCTCTACTCTGTCTCGGGTAGAGCCTCTCATCCCACCTCCCACACCTCTGGCCTGCAACCCAGCTCTTGTATGCATAAATAAATAAAATAAATCTTGAAAAAAGAAATAAGCATTGAGGCCAAGCTATATTTATTAGGAAATACT